TTTTTTTTTCTTTTGTGTTTGTCCAATCTTATTTTACTTTTTGTAGATGCTGATGAGTTATGACTGTAGAAGTAGTGGCCAGAAAAATCATTTGAAAACTATTTGGTAACATGTAAAAGCTCTCAACTTTAACAATATTCTACAATGTAGAACTGTGCAATCCATTCCCTTACATGTTCTGGTTTTGTGCAATTACATTTCGGTGGAAGTGCTCTCATGTAGGTTATCCTGCTTAACTTCCTTCCCCAAATTTATTTCAATAATCACAGAAAAGAAGTGTATTTTTGGCCCTCAATTGGTGTTAAAACTTATTCTGTAAACACGGTTCTTCTTAATTGCTGGCTCTCTGTTGGTAAATTCAAATGCAGAAGAAGAAACTGATCCCACCAAGCATGGGGACTACTTTGTGTTCCATTATTCTAGCCATGGTTCGCTGCAGAGGAACTACAATGGAGATGAAGTAGATGGATATGATGAAACCTTGTGTCCTCTAGATTACCGGGGCAGTGTAAACGTTGGGGGTCTTAGACAGGTACTTGATATTTTCATATTCTTCCTCAAATCTGTCTCCAAGACTAAAATTGCATTACACACAGTGGTTCCCAGTACTCAAATTGCATTTATCAACCCTATCACTTCATACATGCGACATTAAATTTCGACCATACAAGTCCTCCAGATGGTGAGATGAGAGAATCAACACATCAATCTAACATAAAACGATCCTGTCAGATAAATTTGTTCAGACATGACACTTTCCCTGTTTTTGGTGTGCAACATTAACTTTGTGTACAAACCATCCAAAGGAAAAAAAATCACTATCTCTAATCAACAGTTTCAGACAATTGATTAAAAGGGAAATAAAAAACTCTTCTAATGGGTTCAGAATAACATCTCATCTGCATGTGAACAATGATAAAGAAGTCTCTTAAATCTTGTACCCGACATAAAATACTTTTAAAAGTGCAGAACAGAAAACCCAGAGATTTTGAATTGCTCAGAGCATGGACAGGGAATCCCTTAAACTGGCTGCTGCGAAAAATTATTCTTCAAACCGCTACAAAGAACCAAGAAAACAGATTAATTTTTTCTCTCAAACAGATACAAACAACTGCATCAGTCGATGCCCTGAAATTCTCATTCGAAACCATACAAAACTTCCGGTATCAGTTAAAATGAAGGAAGGACATGTAACCGAATGAATATACCTGAAATTTTTTTATTAGGATGTGAGTCCAAAAGTCTGAATCAAGTTGGTGTCCTTGGGCTGATTGATGATCTTGTCAAACATCTCCTTTAGATTCTCATGATCAACCATCACCTCAAGAATCCAGTCCTCAATCCCCGCCACAGGAAGCTTCTTGCACCGGTCCCCCTCGTTTGAGGACGATGTGAACACCAACTCTGAGAGCCGCTCCTTCTCGGCCTGCCTGCAGTACTTGTCGGCCTCAGTTGTCCCAGAAGTCATCAAATGATAGGTGTACACAAACTTCTTCTGCCCGATCCTGTACGCCCGGCTTATTGCCTGAATCTCGACCGACGGGTTCCAGACGACGTCCAGCAGGATCACCCTCGAGGCCCCCACCAGACTTATCCCCTCCGAACAGCACCTTGTTGAGGCCAGCATTACTTTTGACTCGTTTTGCTCATCGTTGAACAGGTTTATCAATACCTGCCGATGTTTCTGGTCGAGCTTCCCTTGCATCTGCAAAATCTCTTTTCCCTCGGCCCACCTGAAGATTTCTTTCAGCTGATCCTTTACGAGCTCGAGCGGTTGGATGTACTGGCTGAATATTAACATCTTCTCCTTCATGGCCATGCTGAGCCGAACAAACTCGAGGATGAATTTCGTCTTCACGCCCTCGTTCGGATTGAGCCGAGAAGCTTCGACTGCAGCCAGGTCGACCCCGATCCTTTCCTCTTCGGTGGACACTGAGTGGTGGAAGAGATACGGGTGCACAGAAAGTAAAGCGGCTTTGTGCTCGAACTGGAAAGTGCTGGGTGTGCCCTCGAGCCGCTCTATTAGGCTTTTTTGCAGAGGTGGGGGTTTGAGGACAACGACACAGTCCCGTAGACCGGGCAGGCTCTGCTGGAGGATGGTGCCCTTGTGCACGTGAACAAAAGGCGCCATCGAGACTTTCAACCTCTGCACGGCATTGTCATTGACTTCTAAGATCTTACACGTGGATTGAGGGTTTTTTCTTGTTGACCCGGTCATCTGTTCTTGGAGGGAATCAGCCATTGCCGGACGAACTATACGCAGAGTGTTGAAGAGCTCAGCAAAGTTGTTCTGAAAGGGGGTCCCGGAGAGAATGACCCGTTTTTGGGTCCGGAGCTTGAGGAGGACATTCCAGATGTTGCTCCTCTGGTTGCGGGGTGTGTGGCCCTCGTCGAGGATCACGAGCCCGGGTTTCTTGAGGAGGATATTCCTCACGTCACCGTCGTTGCCTGCTGTCTGTTTCGTCAGCTTCTCGAACAAGCTGTAGCTGATGCCGAGGATGCTGCCACCCCTGTTCCACGAGTAGAGGTTGACCATGCGGATCGTCTTTGTATTTCTGCGTTTGAGAAGCCCGAAGGTGGCCTTGGTCTCCTCGCCCAACATATCCACATTGAAGTTGAGGAAAGGGAACTCGACATTCCATTTCCGGAACTCTTCTTCCCATGTGAGGAGCATGCTGGCTGGGGCTATTATCATGGGCCGGCAGTTTGGGAATAGCTTCATGTAGGTCTCGATGAAGACTATGGTGAGACGGGTTTTTCCGGTGCCCGGAGCATGAGAGATGATGCAGCCACCGACTTCACTGGGAGTTGTGCTGCTTTTCAGCTCCTTGAGGTGGATGCTTCCGGCTAGGTTTTTCCACAGGAACTCAAAGCCTTCTTGCTGATGTTCGTACATTGTCTGTTGGACACCAGGTTTTAAGCTCCAGACAGTGCCATTGGCTGCACTTCCAGGATTGGTCAAAGTACCAGCTAAAGATCTGAAGCGAAGTACATCATTATACCCAACAAGGTGTTCTGTGCTGTGAAACCTTTTCCTGGCGGACTCCCGGTCAGTTTTTTCTAGCTGTATAAGGCAAATGCATAATTTTAATGCAAGCAATTAAAAGTTATATAAAGTAAATCATGGAGGAAATTGGAGAATATATTGGAAATCTAATAGAAAGCTCACGATATTAAGCTATGAAATGCACATGTTCCGTATTTACTGAGTTAATATGCTGTTCTAACGCATTGCTTGAGATGGACTGGTGTCCTGATTGTATACTCACCCACTCAGGCAATACATCTTTTGGGCCAAGCTCCACATGACGACAGTAAATGCATATCAAACCTTGGTCATCAATCAAGACTAACTCGTGGTTCCCTCTAGTGCATCGTGCATGTGTAGTTTCATCAGCAGAAGAATTTCCTGTTTCCTCATCATCCTGCATGCCAGTATTATAAGTATCAGTCATATGGTTTCTTAACTCCGAATAAGTTGTTCATTATTTGGTTAACTATGGCTGGTATGGAATATGTAAAATATCTGCATTACTCACCTTGGGGAGGTCAAACAATCCCAATTTTTGTAACGACCAACGGAAGTCCAACTCCACAAACAGCTCGTCTATCTCTTTCTCATACTCTGTTTTCTCCACCTTGTCAAGATCCTCATCCTCAAATCTGAATTTCAAGGGCAGAGTAGTTCGAGCTTGCGTGTCTTTAACTTCACCATCACTATCCTTCTCCTCGGGCATTGATGCCCTTCCAAGTACAGAATCCGCAAGCATTCTGCACAGGCCATAATGTCCTGAATAAACTTGCTTCCTCTTTTTCGCCTCTACACCATTGGTCTTCCTGTGAACATCATCATCATTCTTTGAGGAAGGAGATAATGCTTTCTTTTTCTTCCCTTTTGAAATGGGCCTTCCTCTCTTCTTTTCCACATGGCACATGTCAAAATTTTCTGGCCATGACTTAACACCATCTGGAGTAAAGCTGCTACCAACTTTAGAATCATCATTCTTAAAATCACTTCTGGCCGATGATGACGATGATTCTGAATCCGGTGGAGATCTTTCTACCCTGGATGCCTTTGTGGCAGTCCCCGTCATCCTTGACCGGTTTCGGCCTGCGATGCCTTCCTTAACAGTCTTGTCCTCAGCACCGCATGAGCTGGTTTCATTGTCCGTAGAAACATCGTTGCTCGAATGGGTACTTGAGAAGGAGCTGGTAGATTGACCCGGCGTGCTACTGCTGATGCTGGCATCATCATCATCATCATCATCATCATCATCATCATCATCATCATCATCATCATCATCATCATCATCATCATCAATATTTCCCTTCAAATGCCCATTGTTCTTTGTCTTTCGGGCTGGGTGAGCAGAAGCACAAACACCCTTTTCCTTATTGTTCTTATCATCACTTTTGGGTATCCTTTTGCTTGAGCCGGTGGTGACTTTCTTGGCAGGACACCGTCTGTCAAACCTCCATATTTTCTTGAATTGTGGTTCAGGGATTTTCTGTATCTCGTCCCCTACTTTGTCACTGTTCCCTAAACAAAGACATGAGAATATCATAATTAGAAAATGAAAAGTTGAGTTCAGTTAAAAAAATCATCTGATATCACTCATCACTAGATTCAAATACATATTTCTTTGCATATATCATCACCTGATTCTGAAAACGAGCTTGACGACCCATTTCGTGACACGTCAGAATCACTGCTGTCGTCACTGCAAGAAGACGATCCACACAAATCATTCACGGTGACAATTTTTTTTGTTTCCTTCAGTCCTGACTTGGACAAGCACCTGCTCTTGTTTCTGCATTGCTCTATGTTTTTCCTGGTCACACCAATGTTCTTCTTGCGAGCAGAGAAAGTGTTTTTGCTAAACGAGCCTGCAGGTCGGTCTCGGTCTGAGTCTCCACTCAACTTTTTCTGTGTTGATGGCCTCGTCTTTGACTTACTATGTGCTTTCAGACGGCTCAATTCAGTTTCACTAAGTTTCTCTATGCTTACTTCTTCCGAATCAGTACCTTGGTTGTCACTTTCTGCAAAGATATACAAAACAATAAAATTCAGTACAATTTTTATGGAAATTTTCACCTTAATTTATCAGTTTCATCTTCTTCTTGAGCTTGCTTATGCATTTGACAAGCTAGAAATCTCCCCTTTTTTTTAGGCTTTTCATTTTGACAAGCTAGAAATCTCCCCTTTTTTTTAGGCTTTTCATATTTCTTAGTTTCAGTAAATAGAAACAGTAACAAATAAGATACTAATTAGACAATTTTATATTTCCTGAAACATGTTAGTCAGAACTGAATGAGACACTGTGGAAAACTACTAATATAAGGTGTATTGTCATAGCAAGGATTTCATAAATTGCTTGAATGGTAGTGTTACCAATCACCGACACATGAAAAATTGATTAATAGTGAAGAATCAACATACAAGAAAATCAACCAAAAAAAAAAAACGGCAGTAAGAAATAATCACCAATCACAATTATGTTTCGTTTTGGTAATGAGGCTTGAACAGAACTGAAGAATCCACGAACATGGGTGGGGGGTGTCCTCGTGCTTCCACTTCCCATGTTCTTCTTTGGATAACTTGTGTTCAGCTCTCCCCTTGCAGAGTTACTTTTCTTTGGCCTGGCATGTGTTGCACGTCTCAAGAATTCAGTGTTCCCAGTTCTTTTGATTTCAGCCTCTTCAGAATCTGTATTCTCAACGTCATTCCCTGTTGAGAGGCTAAAAAATGTGAAAAGAAAATCTTCTATGATGCAGCCCTTACACTCTTTAATATGTCATTCCAATTCTTGGATGCAGATTACCACACCTATAGACTAATGGACATGTTTTAACTGTGTCAAGGCTCGGAATTGTTTGGAGTTTGTAAGACTCAAGTAACAGCAGGCAGCAGAGAAATAGAATGTGATTAGTTAGTTACTTCTTTTCGCAGTCGAACTCGACTTGTGCCACGACACTTGATTAGAATGAGGCCCGGCATTGTTCGGATAAAAGGGCACTGGTATGCTTTTGCTCACAGCAGCAGCACCACCAAACTTACTGGTATTGGGTGCAGTACGTCTATTCACACCGTCAGTTTTCTTACCTACACTACACACACTTTAAAATATGAGAAACCAATCTGGTTTAGTAGCTAAGCTATATTTGTGCCTTTCTTTCCAATCAAATGAATGCCCAAGAATTTACTACCTGTAATAAGATGAGTGAGAAATTTTTTTCTATTCATTTCGTCAACTCGGTTGAGATATACAGAGTTTCAGCAATATGATTGAAATTTGTCAAGTTAATATGAAGGACATTTTCTCAAACCAAATTGAAATCACCTTTTCCAAATGAAACCCCTGGATTAGTAGAACCATGGGTGACATCTTCCGGAGAAGAGTATCCATGAGCAGCAGCCTCAACAGAATGCACTCTTCTTGAGCTGTCAACAGCCTTCCGAGAAGTGGCTGCAGAAGCACCTAACTTTGACTTGCCACGTTTTCCTGAATTGTACAACTCAGCTCTCTCAATCACGAATTCATCGCTATCCGAATCATCATCACTCTCATTCCCTGCAAAGTGACTTAGGAAGGTGAAATCATTTTTCAATTAAAATTACTCTTTAAGAAAGATAATTTAAGAGAGACAAATTAAGTTCACCATTTCTACGGCTACCAGCTCCTCCTTGTTTGGGTTTCGTCTGAGTTCCTCTCATCCTTTTTCTTCCGGAATCTTCTCGAGTCGATTTACAGCTTGACGTCTTCCTTTTCCGTGGAGCGGAAATCCCAACCGAGCCGCTTGATGGGGCCGCCATGTTGGATGAAATCCCACGTGACTCGGCGACGCTCTTAATGTACTCATCCCATCTCGATCTTGTCCTCCCGGAAACACTCGACCGGAATGCCGTTATCACATCATTACTACTCTTCTTTGATTGGCTCTCACTCTGTGATAATAAAAATAAACAAAGGCCAGCAAGTTTCTTGAAAGATAAAGCTGCTACTTTTGCAATTCAAACTCAGAATTTAATTTTTTTTTTTTTTAAAAAAAAAACTAAGCAAATAATAAAAACAAATAACATAATAGTTATCTCCCACGCATATACAATACAAGGCTGGCTTTGTAATCTTACCATCCTTTTAGGCTTTGCTGATCAGAAGAGAAACACACACACACACACACACACACACACACACCTCTTTCTATCAATTATGCAGAGAATAAAATTAATTAGTTGAAGGGACTCAACTCAATATATGATCAGTAAACAAACGAAAGCCTACTCAAACTGTTGAATTATTATTATTATTTATTTTTTCAAGTATTTTGTTTCTAGGCCCAAAAATGGAAGATATGTATATATATAGCACACAACACAAGTGGTAGATATTGGAGAATGCCAGCCAGCCCAGCCATGTGCAATAAAATTTTTGCCATCTCTTTTTATTTTTCGTTGCTGATATCTATGAATGAGATTGACATTTTATTAATGTTTATTACTATTAAAACCTTGATCTAATTGCTTTGAAATCACTAGTATAACATATATAATTAATTTCATATTCAAATGTCATGGTTTATAAATAAAATAATATAAATAAAAGTGTTTTGATTCATTCGTATAAGTATGTATTCTTGTTAAGTAAAATACTAAGTAATAATTATGCTAACAACAACAAAATCTGTAATACAACAACACTAGCTAGCATTTACTTTTTACTACATTTGGTAGAGAGAGGTTCATGTGATCCACTTCTGTTTGGTACGTACTTCCATTATTAAATTACATAATCAAGGTTAATGCCATGAATATTTTTACTTAAAAAAAAAATCATAAAATTTAAACGGACTATCTGCTGCTGCCTGCCACTAAATGTGCCTCAAATTTTTAACCACGTAGTTTGTTAAAGAAAAAAATAAATTTTTTAAGGCAAGCAAAATAAGGCTATCCCAATTAAAAATATAAAAAAAAAATAATAATAATAAGGAAAATGAAGGAATCGAACTCATATTAATGACATGCATGGTCATGGTCTATATATGTTCTGAACAAAATAAAATCGAATTTTTTTTATTTAAACAAAAAAAAAAAAAATGAGTGGACAAAAACAAAAACAAAAAAACCATAAACACAAAAACACAAAAAAAAAAAAAAGGAAATTTTTGTTCTTGAGAGAGAGAGAGAGAGAGAGAGAGAAAACAGAGTACCTTTGTTGCTGGCATGTCATGTGAATTAACTTCAACAATGAGACTTTGTTCTACAGTACAGTACAATGTTGTGTTAAGGGAATAATGAAATTTCAAGGGTTATTTCCCAAGAAAAATGAAAAAAAAAAGTAACTTAATTGTCACAATTAATTAATAGCTAAAAGCTAGTACTATTAGAGAATACCAAACGTTCATCCTTTTAGTAATCATCATCATTACTAATAAAACTACTTTATAACGTTGTTAAAAGAAGATATTGCCTGATTGTAGTATATTTTTTGTATGTTATCAGGAAAATATTGTTCAGAAAATATTATACTACCTCCTATTTTAAATAGATGTCGTTTTGGGATGTTGCACATTTATTAAGAATATTTTTTTTGTCAATAATAACCTTATTTAATGAAGATAGAGATGAATGTTTTGAGAAAAAGATGAAGAGTGATTATGAAAAGACGTGATATATTTATTAGCTAAATGAGGGTAATAATGGAAACATATGTACAAAAGATCCAAAACGACATTTATTTAGCAAATAATTGATAAAGCTAGAATGACATTTAAAAAAAAGTAGGAGGGAGTAGTAAGTATTTTGGTTGTGTAATTTTTTTTTTGGTACAGGGACCTTTCGGTTTCCGGATCTACAGGAGAACCGACTAATCCAGAATTAATATAATAGCTTGGTTGTTGTATCAGTTTTCACTAAAACATACACACACAGCTAGCAATTTATTTCTTTTGACTCTTTTTCCTTTTCAGTTTCCTTTTATGTGTTTATGGTTTCCATTTTGATGTATTTTCTTCTTACAGAAATCAATCAGGATGATATAATAAGATTGTCTACCTCAGAATAATAATAAAATTAAAAAAAAAATGAAATGTTTCTACTTTTAGGTGCAGATCATATTCATTGAATTGTTTCGGACCAGACAACAGAGAAAAAAAAAAGATATTGCTAATATTAGGGCCATGAATTCAAATTGAAGTCCAAAATTATATGTATTTATCACAAATCAGAATTATGGATTTTATTCCAAAGAATATTGAATTAATATAGATATGTGTGTGTGTGTGTGTGTGTGTGTTATTCTTACCAGAAATGATTTACAAATTCGGAATGTTATTCATTGTAGGAATTTTTTAAAAAAAAAAAACACCATCAAAATATGGATATTATTACAAGTTATAACAATATAGAAATGTTCCCCTACCCACGGTGGGCACATATTAATATGCCCACCGTGTAGGTGGCATGCACTCATTAGTGATGCATTTTTCTAAACATATTAACATCACCAATGAATGCATGCTACCTACGCGGTGGGCATATTAACATGTGTCCACCGTGGGTAGGTGAACATTTCTCTATAACAATAAGTATGCTTATGCTTATATTATTCCAAAAAATTGTTTCAATTACAATAATTATCATTATTATAGTGAAAAAAGAATCGCCGGCCATTAGGGGCGGGGCCATCATTAATTAACCAACTGTTTCTTTAACTTTCAGTTTAATATGGGTCATACCGTAAATAATTCATGAACTTCGTTTGTACTATAGTGTTATATAAATTGCACATTAATGACTATTGAATTCCACCATAGTTCCCGAATCGATCGAAATAAAATCATCGATTTAAAATTTTATATTTCGATACAAATATTTATTTTTATTTTTTAAATATCGATCATTTCAATTTGATGACGAACTTATTTTTAAAATAGCTGAATTATTTTAAATATAAATAAAAAAATTTTAACATCTTAAATATAGTTTGAATATTTATAAATTAGGCACATAACCTACTACATTAAATTTTATGCAATTACAGTTAAATTTATAAGATTTTCAAAAAAAATCCCCAAAGTTTATCTAATTTATAAGAGTGAGCCCCACAAATCAACTTCCTAAGTCTAAAAACCGCGAAATTCAGAAACGAGATGTCGGCACCGTCGCCGACCCAGGTGAACATATCTGCTATCAAGACGATTTTCGGCGGTAATATCTAGAGTATTTCAGACGGACGGTGTTGGAGGAGCAAGCTACGCGGCTGACTGGCCGGTGGCGACGGAGCGGATTTTGGTCTCAACGACGATCGACAAAGCAGCTCTCCATTGAAGTGTGTGGACTGCCGAGAACATCTCAGTCGGTAGCGGCGGGCGGCGTCGTGGTCGGTGTTGGAGATGATGTGGTAGGCGGGAGATGATGCGAGCGCCGCCGACGGGGAAGGTGGAGAATATAGCAGAATCGCACCAGATCCGCCGTCCTTCTCCCATAGCCGTCGTCGCCGACGCAGTCCCCCGCCTAGCGCCGCCGCTGCTCCTCGCACAGACAGCAACACATCACCACTCATACCACCGCCATCCCGCGCGGATACCTCCGCCACTTAAACGACAAGAGCTTCGATGAGATTCGCCGCCTCAACACCGGTGCGGCCAGCCGAGGCCTACAAAGAAGAAGGCCGGTCGCCGAGGACGTCATCTTCATCTGAGATATCGCCGCCGTATGGACTGTGTGTGGACTGTGTGTGTGTGTGACTATGTGTGCAGCGAGGGTGAGCGTGTGGGTCGGGTGATTGTGTGAGAGAAAGTGAAGAGTAGTAGTGGTTGGGGTGGGTCCACCATGTGATTAAGATTTGACTATAATACCATTAATAAGTGGTCAATTGTATATATTTGACCACAACATGACCATTTAATTACAAGATTGCCATAGCTTGTTTGACTGACATTAATAAAAGTTGATTTCATCATGATCATTGGATTAATGGATCCAATGATCTAGAATCATTCTTATTTCTTTCATTATGTTTCATTCTCGTATGATCCTTTCTATATATATAT